TACTGACTCTATTTAATTTAGATTGAAAATAATTAATAATTATAACAATTATAATTAATTGATAGATAATAAAATAGTTAATATTTATTATTTAATAATTAATAAAATTAATTTATACAATGATACCTTCAATGACAATGATTATTATATATTTTGATTCAATAAACTTTCTAACACTTATTATAATTCAATTATTGAAATATAATATAAATACTAATAATCTGTTTGTTTGAATGAAAGAAATTCAAATCCTTTTTAAATAAAGTTTTGAGTTTAAGTTTTATAAATAAATAAATAGGTGTTAGGAGAGTTTTTTGTTATAATTCAACTATTGAAATATAATATAAATACTAACGATTTATTAGTTTGAATGGAAGGAGATCAAATTCTTCTTAAATAAGGTTTCGAATTTAAGTGTTGTTAATAGAAAAATAAGTGTTAAGAGAGTTTGTCTCTTATGAGATTTGACACAACTTGAACAACTATTTAGTTAATTCCTACATCTTCTATATATAACTATATCTTTTAAATTTATCTTTTAAAAAATGTCAATATTTATGTCATCCTAACAATTTAGTGTGTCTATTAGCACTTGTATAATAATTGTTATCTTCAATCAACACTCTCAACTTCTCAAAGCTTGTAAAAAATACCAAATTGATTTTAGGTCAATTGGTTAAGTAGCTGAGTAAAAGTTAAAATCTCGTAATCTTAAAATTATAGATTTAATTCTCTTAGGTATGAGTTTTTTCCAAAAATTGTACACCAAATTTTTTTTTTCCTTTGATTTGTCCAATGTGGTGGTTGAATTTGTATTGTATTGATTAATTAATTAATTTACATTTTGGATGAGTTGCAAAAAAAAGAAAAAGTAAAAAATTGACTTCTTTCTTTTCATATAATTATGTGACTTTAGATACTTGAGGTTAACTCCTATAATGCGCAGGTTATTTCGTAGCTTTATTAGTTTTATGGTAATTTGCAATTTAATTTGGTGATTTAAATATCAGAGTGTATTAATTAATGTGTTAATATGGATAATTATTATAAAAAAAATGAATAATTAATTAGTAACATGTTGCCATGGAAATAAAAAAAAAAAGAAATTATTTAAGGAAGCCAGTGAAAGTGAAGTTAAAATGCATGATTTACATGAGGAATCATTCTTTGCTTCCATGTCCGAAGAAAGTAGCTACAAGAAGTGAACCACAACTGCAAGCAATACCTACAGTAACCATGAGGGCTTTCTGACCCTTGTCCCATCTCCCAATCCCACTCCATTTTGTTCTTTTGTCCTCTCAACAAAGGAAAGCCTCCAACATTTTGAGAGTGTTTTCATAAAATGTTGCCACAGTTGTTGATAACATGATATGAGAATTACTTTAAATTTTTTGTTTATCGAAAGATTGTACTTATAAATTTTATATTAATATAAATATTTTTTATGTAGGTTTTTTTGTCCGTTTGATTTTCAAAAACAAAATTGTTGTCCACAACCATTTTACTCCATTAGCAAATAGGTAAAAAAATATTCGAAATTTTTTCTTGTGACAAATAAAATTCACAGTGGTATCAAAGAGTGGCAAAATCTTTATGCTGTTTTTCAGTTGCTCTGTTCACAATAAAGTCCTTCAAAATTAATGTAGATTCTGATCATCGTCAAGAACTAAACCTGCTGAGGTATCCAATTAAAACCTT